TGAACCTTAGGCTTTCTTCATTTTGTTTTGATTTTTTTTTTTTCTGACTGATCCCTTTCCAAAGAAGTATTCAGGTATTTGTCTTCAATCTCATTAATTCTATCTTCCATTGCATCAATTCTAACCCTTTACCCTTCCAATGTGTTATCTATTTCTAACAATTTATTATTAATCTTCTGGATTTCTACCTGCAGATTTAGAATCATTTCCAAGTTTTCATTTATTTTGTCATTTTGTTCCTGTATTTTCTTTCAAAATTCTTCTAAGGTTTTTCCTGTGTTTTCTTTGGTCTGTCTCTCAATCCTTTGAAGATACCTAAATATAATTCTTTTGAATTGCTTATCAAAGAGCTCTAATGCTGCTTCTATCTCAGGGATGTGTTCTGGGTTTGTAACCTGTTCTCGTATTTCTACCCGTTTATCTTGCTTCATTGTGTGGACTGTGATGGTCTGTTGTCTCTGAGGCATCAGGCATCATGGTATTGTATTAAGATCTCTGTTAACTGTTTGTGAAGAGCAGCCAAGGGTGATGCAGGCTCTTCTTGGTGTTTTTTTTTTTTGTTGGCCTGCTGGTGGAGAAGGAGGTGCTGGCTCTTGCTCAGTAAGTGAAGGTGCAGGAGGTGTGGGTTACTTGTATCTTATATGGACTGTTGTCTCCCATTCAGTTAGGCAAAAATTACAATTGAATAACCATCAAAAAAACTAAAAGCACGTGGACAAAAAACACACCCTGATATCACACAGGAACAGTAACCCCCCAAAAAAGAAAAAGTGAAGAAAAGAATACAGGTAAATATGCAATATCTTGGGATAGGTCACTAAAAGAAAAAAGGTAGAGAAGGAGAATAATGAAGAAAGAAAACAAATAGTAAACAGAAAAGAGAGAAAAAAAAAAGGAAAAACAAAACAAAACCAATAAACCCAACAAGTAATGAGGTTAATCACTAGAGAAGAAAAGAAGAAGAAGAAGAAAAAAAGAAGGTGTAAACTAAGACCTTTTCAGTTGTGTAGTGCCAGTTCGGAGAGTTCTTGGGGTTACTGGAAAGCAGAACCTCTTCTTAAGCCCTTGGAATCTGTTAGAGCATTGTCTCTTTAGGTTGTCTCTAGGTGCTGGTTACGTGTTGATTTGTTTTGTCTTGGTTTTACTGTTTAATATTTTGAAAAGCTGAAGCTGGTGTGTTTTATCTTAATATTGATTCAGGTGTGTTGGGTCGCTCTGCTGTTTTCTTTGTGATGGTGGAATCACTGTGTGTAGCGTGGATATGTGTTTCTGTTTTTCGTACAGAGGGTTTAGAGTTCGAACCATGAGGTTTTATGGTAATTGGCTGAATATGGTTTCTTCTATTGAATGAGTGAAGTTGTTGGCGGAGAAGGTGGGAGCAGAAGGAAAGCTTAGCGTTGCTAGGGTCGGTTTCTAGGGCTTTGTGCTGGGTATTATTGATGATGTATTGATTTGCAAGACCACAGCTCGACCTCAGGAAAAAATTCCTCTTCTTAGAGGGTCACAAATTTCCGCTAATTTCAGGCACACTCAAAGGTCCCGCCTCCACGGCCCCACAGTACCAAAGCGTGGCTTCAAGGCAAAATTCGGGGACCGGGTTCAGCTGCAGTTTCTTTTTTCTCTGTGCCCCTTCTGCCTGCGGTGCTGACTCAATCCAGCCAGACCGCCAATGGCCAGCTCTGGAGTTTGTCTGTGATACCGCCCACCTGCAGCGCCAAAGATGAGTGCAATTTCAGGTGTGTTGGACTCGGGGGAGTACCTAAGCAGGCTCTAACTTATGATGTATTTATTTGCAAGACCGCAGCTCAATCTCAGGAAAGATTTGTATTGTTAGAGGGTCACAAATTTCTGCCAATTTCATGCACACTCAAAGCCCCCGCCTCCATGGCCCCACAGCGCCAAAGCATGGCTCCAGGGCAAAATTTGAGTGAACATGCTCGGGTGCAGTTTTTCTGCTCTCTGTGCCCCGTCTGCCCACGGTGGTAACACAATCCTACCTGACCAGCAATGGTCAGCTCTGGAGTTCGTCTGTGATACCGCCCACCTGCAGTGTCAAAGATGCGTGCAATTTCAGGTGTGTTGGACTTGGGGGAGTACCTGAGCAGGCTCTAACTTATGACGTATTTATTTGGAAGACTGTGGCTCAATCTCAGGAAAGATTCATATTATTAGAGGGACACCAATTTCTGCCAATTTCATGCACACTCAAAGCCCCCGCCTCCGCGGCCCCACAGCACCAAAGCACAGCTCCATGGTAAAATTCGAGTGAGCGCACTCAGCTGCGGTTTTTCTGCTCTCCGTGCCCCGTCTGCCCGCGGTGGTAATGCAATCCTGCCTGACCGGCAATGGCTGGCTCTGGAGTTTGTCTGCAATACTGCCCACCTGTGGCACCAAAGATGCGCACAATTTTAGCTGTGGTCGATTCAGGGGAGTACCTACCAGTGACCTGCGGTCCCGATAACTGTGGCAAAGAAAAGCATGGTGTCTCCCAGTCTGACCCAAACCTGCTCTGTAATCTCTGGGAGGGGAGGGAGTTAGCCTTTCTGGTGCACAAGTGAGATCTCTACCTGTGTATCAGCAATGGTGTCCGTGTCCCGCTGCACCCTCACCTCCCAAATTACTGACAAAATCAGCCATTGGAGACAGGTCTTTGCCACTGCCCACTGGAATACTGTATTGGTCGCTGGTAAGCTGCTATAATTGATCTCATTCTTGGCTTGGGGATCTCAGGCTGCCGCCCAGCAGACAGTAACTGCCCAAGAAAGGTTTCCAATGGTCTCTCTCAGGTGCCCGTTCGTCTTCTGGCAGTAGCTCTTTACTAAAAAATCTCCCTGTGCCTTTCCTCCAATTTTGCTCTTCTGTGTTTGATGCAATCTGGATCAGTGAGTTGTTCAGAGAGCCAAGAATCTCAATTCAAACTCTTGTACCTAGTTCTTAAAGTTCTTAGATGCCAGAGGGAAAAAACACAGTGCTCACTGGCGAGACTCCATTTTGAATCCGAGTATAGTGCTTTCTTGCAATAAAGTATTCCATTTCCCTACTACTTTGGGGAAGTCCATTTGAATAAACTCTTCATAATGCAGAAATGCAACTACACAGTGACCACACCTGCCCAGACAAAATGTCTAAATTCCTTGGCTTGCCTTTCAAAGCCAAACAATCTATTCAATTTCATACAATTCCTATTCATGTACACTGTTCCTCACACAAACTGGACTACTGCTATTCCTTAGAGGGACCTCAGTCTTCCTAATGCTTTTACTCAGGCTTTTCCTTCCACTGAGGATATCACACCTTAATTTCCACCCATCCTGTTTCTACTTATTTCTCAAGTTTCAGCTCTGACAGTTCCACCAAAGACTTCCCTGATCAAGTGTGCTAAAAGAAACTTCCTCCTACCTCCTCCAGTCTCACAGTACTTTATGTTTTCTAATGGACCAATCATATTTCATCTTTTATCAATATACCTGTGGAAGCAAGACTGGGCAATCTACTCCTGTAAAGATTTACCACCTCAGAAACCCAATGGGGATCGCTGAGTCAGAATCAGCTCAACGGCAGTGGGTGGTGGCACATGGTCTTTAGTTATGTGTATGTCTCTTCTGCTAGTCTACAAACTTTGAGGCAGAATTCATGTCTGACTCCACTTTTTATTATCTCTACTGCCATCAAGTTGGTCGAATAGAGAGGCTAAAAAGAAAAAAAACTCTTATTTATTCAGTATCTATAATCTGCCCAGAACCTCATATACATTATCTAAACTAATTCTCACAAGTTTCATAAAGTTGGTATTATTCTCATTTGAGCCGGGGTTCAAACTGGTTAGTCACTTTGTCCAAGTTCACACAGCTAGAAAAGGGCAGTCTACTTTAAACACATTCCATAACCTCTGTTCTCTCTGATGTTACTATGATCCTCTGTACATCACCTTATGGTAAGTAAAACACACAGAAGTTACATAAATATCCATTGGATAAGTGAGGCTGTCATCTCCCATATCTTAAAAGCCAACTTTCCCCAGTATACTAGGGAGGGTAAATGTCTCTCATTTAATCACGGACAAAAAAGGTGGCCTGCCATTTTGTAGCTGTAACACACTCAGCAGAAAAGAGGTAGAGCTCGACCCAGCACAATAAGTTATTGTTTGTTTGTTTTCTGAATTACAATCTGTTTAAAAGCAAAACAAAACAAACTTGTGAGGAAATCCAGAAACTTAAAAAGAGAAGGAATGGCTAAGAAAGGTGAATTAACATGGCTTTGGAAAAGTAATTATGATGTCTGACAAGGTATGTAACAGTCGTAATGACGAGATATGCCAAGAGTGGAGGCTCAGTCCTGGACACTATTCTCAGGGTCTTCCCCACACAACACTCCTGAATGACCTGAGGAAATGACAAAGTTCAGCACTTGTGGACCAAATTTAAACCTCCATCCAAGCTACGAGCTCTGAAACTCTCAAACATATCCATACCTTTGGAGTATCAACACACTCTTCTTCCATAAAGGCTGCTTCTGCCTGACAACCAGACGCTGGGAATGAAAAGGCCTCCAAATTGGATGCCTGTGGAAGAGTAGAGCGCATCAGCCTCATGTTCGGTGGATGCATGGTCACTGGGAGTCCCACAGTTTGTGCCTGTAAATAAGATAAGAACAGTTTAGGAACATTAAACACAGCGTCCTTAGAACAAACACAGTCCTTAGAATAACATAAATCTTTCTGGCACAACTAAATGATAAAGAGTTATCTGCTGGAAATTCCAAAAAAAGTTTGGATCATCCAGAAAAGTTGGTGCAGGTATTGGTTTGAAGCAGTATCACAGATCAAGCATTCTGAAATAGGTTGTTCAAAATTTCATTCCTGTTCCATGAGGAGGTATGTAACTTTCACACAGATGACAAGACTGGTCTCTGTAAGGAATCTAAGAATGCTCTTTTTTTTTAAACTCATGAAACATATATTGTCTACTTCCTTAAATACATTACCCTAGAAAGATATAAAGATGAAAAGTCCCTGACTCTAGGAGCTCAAAACTGAACTCAGAGGCAGGAACACACACAATTAACTACAAGACACACTGAAATAAGTACTACATTATCTGTTTTTTTTTTTTTTTGAGGGTTGAGATGGTATGTCTCCTGGCCTCATTTGGGCATGACACAAAAACAGGGGTGGATGTGAAGAGGAACAAAAGAGAAGCACAGTTCCTGAAGATGACTGCAGATGCTTAGCCTGAACACAGTTGGTGGGCCCAGTGGCTGAGTAAGTGTGTTCCTGAATGCAACCTACTGCAGAAAGCTCCTGAAGGTTTTGTTAAGTCCACCCTTCATGCTTCCTTTTTAGGTATTCTAAGTAACCAAGCATTACAAACTCTTCTTTTAAAAATTATTAAAAAAAAAAAAAAAAAAAGAGTCTCTTAGGACAACTGGAAGGATTGATTTTAAAGATAAAACTGTTGATAAGAGCCTTTGTTCCCCACCCCTTCAAAACCAGCAAAATAATTTATTAGATGTGTTTTGAACATAACAGACGCTGTAGAACATCTGAGGAAGAATCATCATACTGGTCTCTGAACGGCAGAGGAACGGCCTGTATTTTTCCTGAGATTGTCACATCAGGGCATACAGGATGGTGAGTTTTAAATTCAAATAAATAAAAAGAACAAAATGGTGTGAGAGTCTAGCTTCCTCTCTCCCACAATGAGGACTGCACCAATTACTAGTATGATCTTAATCAGGATACTTAACTCTCTCTGAATCTTATTTTATCTGTTTTTAAAAAAGGGCATAATATCTACTTCACAGTGAGGTTAGGATAGTAAAAAGTAATATATAAAGTTCTAACTCAGTAAATGTAATTCCTCTTTTCCCCTTGTTTCTAAAGTCTTAAAATGATCAGAAGAATTTAATATAGAAATCATACTACGAAATAAATGTATAGTCTTAGTCTCAGGCACTTGACTGCTAACCAGAAGGCTGGCAGTTCAAACCCACCAGCCACTCCTTGGAAGGAAGATGGGGCAATCTACTTCCGTAGTGATACTGCCTTGGAAACCCAAGGAGGGGTCGCTATGGGTCGGGTCCGACTTAAGGGCACATAACAACAACAACAACAATCTCAGGAGCCTTGGTGGCACAAGGGTTAAAACACACAGCTGCTAACTAGTTGCTCCACAGGAGAAAGATGAGGCAGTCTGCTTCCATAAAGCCTTGGAAACTCTATGGGGGCAGTTCTACTCTTTCCTATAGTATTGCTGTAAGTTGATTCTGACTACTATCTAATAGCTCTCAGTAAAAATTTCAGGTTGATGTTTCTCAAGGATGGGGTGATGTGTTAGAAGAAGTGTCTTTATATCTGGTATATTTCAATGTTGACATCATTAGATCTACTGTATGAGATAGAAGATTAAAATATCGATAGAAAAATCTTACTATTATGTCCATGGTAAAACAGAAAGAAAATACAGCATACTATTCTGAGTATGATAAAGAAGTAACTTTTTTAATATCATCATTCCTCAAGCTTATATCCTGGGCCACTTTTGAGGCTAAACAACTTTTTTCCCCCTCTCTTTCAAGCATCAGTCATTTGAATTAATGTTTTCACCACTGTCACAAGGTAAAGGAGCTCTGGTGGTGTAGTGGTTAAGGCATTTGGCTGCTAATCATAAGGTTGGTGGTACAGACCTACCAGCTGCTCCTCATAAGAAAGAGGAGGCAGTCTGTTTCTGTAAAGATTGACAGCCTTGGAAACCCAATGGGGGTCACTATGAGTCAGCATTGACTCGACAGTAGTGAGTCTGGTTTCTGAGTTAATCACAAGACAATGTGTTACCTTCCTAAAAAAGTACATTTGATGTATGTCCTTTATGTCCCCATCATCAGCTTTTCAATCAAAGGGTAAAACTTAAGTTTGCTTTCTGTTCTCCTAACTTTATTAGAAGGAGCTCTGGTGGCACAGTGCCTAACACATTTGACTGCTAACAAGAAGGTTGGCAGTTCAAACTGCTAACAAGAAGGTTGGCAGCTGCTCCATGGAAGGAAGATGGGGCAATCTACTTCTGTAAAGATTTACTGCCTTGGAAACCCAATGGAGGTCGCTATGAGTCAGAATCGACTCAATGGCAGTGTGTTTGGTTTGGGTTTTTAACTTTATTGGACTGCTCCTTTTACATAAAAGCAGTTGATTCCTAGGGGAAAGCATTACCTGAAGATACTGTACTGGGAATATGATTTCAACATAACTGATGTGCTGTTCCTGCTCAGTCCCTGTCTGCTGAACGGCGGATTGTGCTGTGCAGAGCAAGTGAAGCACCTTTTTCTTTGACAACTTTCACCTCCAGCCTGGACTACACAATTTACTATGAATGTGGTAAGGATAGAAGAATAAATTTTATTATGAGAGTCATTTCATAGGGTAGGTTTTAGGAATCTGTTTTTTAGGAGCAGTATTAACAAAGTAATAGTATGCACTAAAGTCTTTTTGGAACAAGGAAATGAAACCCTCTGCCATCAAGTTGATTACAACTCATAGTGACCCCCATGGAGTTTCCAAGGCTGTAAATCTTTATGGAAGTAGATTGCCTCATATTCCCAAAGTAGGGTATAAATACACAAATGGCACGCTCAGCACACAGAACTAACCAGAGAACATGTTGTCATAATAAATAGATGGTAAATTAATAGCCCAAGGAAGCAGCTTCTCTTTCTCTCTTTTATATCAAATGGATTTTTATTAGAAGTGCAGCAAAACAGTTTCCATCACAGAAGTTATATATTTCATAACATTCTCTCCCTTCTCAGGAAGAACTCTCTACTTATTGAGTTAATCTTTATATTCTTTATTATAGTTTTATACTTCTCATTTAATAGTTATGTTTCTGATCAATATATTTAATGTACACATATATACATAGACTGACACTGTGGTGGCAACAATAGCTTCAAAAATAGCAACACTTGTTAGGATGGTACAGGACCAGGCAGCAGTATTTGTTCTGTTATACACAAGGCTGTCATGAGTTGGGGCTGACTTGATGGCACCTAACAACTACACACACACACACACATACATTTATAGTTATATTTCTAACTCATCATTATTCCCATAAAGGAAAGCTACTAAATTTGTGTACCCTTATTTATATCTAACCATTTTAGTTTGTTGCATCAATTCTAAAACTCTTTAGTCGAGCATCTTAGATTTTCTAACAACACAAAAACCAAACTCACTGCTGTTGAGTCGATTCAACTCGTAGTGACCCCTCCTTGGGTTTTCCAGGCAGCAGATTGCCCAATCTTCCTTCCGAGGAGTGGCTGGTGGGTTTGAACCACCAGGCTTCTCATTAGCAGTCAAAAATGCCTTAGGCACTACACCACCAGAGCTCCCAATTTTCTAACTATACAGTCATATCTACAAATAGTCCATCTATCAATATAACCTCTTAATTTTCCTATTTTATTACATTATCTGGAACAGTAGTCTTCAAACTGACACCTATGTATCTTTGAGGTACACGAAGATTTTGCCAATGGTATAGGAGTGGGGAAGCTTTACCAGTCAGTTTTCTTTGCTAGAACTGATGATCATTTGTTTCCCCTTCTCATACTTGGAAAGGGTCTTTTTGGTAATGATAGTCAGGATTGTAGTTGAACTAAAAAACGGCAGACACAGTCATCTAGTCCATTCTTCATTTTACAGTATAAGAAACTGAGTCCCAATGAGATGGTCTAATACCTATTGGGTCACACAGTTCCACAATACCTTACTTTTCTTTGGTAGAAGAATTTATGTAAATTATGGGTTTGGGATTTTTTTTTTAATTGATGCTAATCTTTAAATCTTTAACTATATCAAGAAAATAAGTTAATTATTCACATTTAGTCACTCGTTTTCTTACCATTTAACTTGCCTCACTTAGGATTATTAATTTTCTCATTGGTTTCCTTAATTTTTACTTTATGTATCTACAGAAGAATTTTTTGTATTTTATTTTTTGTTGTTGCTGTTTAGAATATACACAGCAGAACATTCATCAATTCAACAATTTCTTCATGTGCTACCAGCTTTTGTAAGAGCGGTAATAAACAACTGTGATAACTTTTTTATTTTTATTTTTATTTTACTGTGCTTAGGGTGCAAATTTACAGAACAAAATTGTTTTACATTCAACAGTTCATGTACATTTGATTTCACGCCCTGATTACCATCCCTGACCATAACAAACTCTCCTCCCCTCATTTCCCTGTGACTAATCCCTCTCTGTTCCCTTCTTAACTATGCACTTCTATCTGTCCAGCTTTCCCTCTGTGTAAATGCTGCCCCTCTGGTGCCCCATGGCTGATTGCTCTAAGGGGTGTATCTCCCTAGAGTAGGTGGGTACACCACCCTGGGGTAGGTGTTCTGCATGTAGGTCTTTCTGCTGTTGGGCTGAGAGCCAATCCATGGGAGTGAGTGTAATTCCAGGGTCGAAGGGTAACCCAGAGCCATAGTCTTAGGGGTTCCACCAGACTCTATGTGGTAATGTTTTAGATTATATGTTTTGTCTTAAATCTCTTCTGTCACTTCCAGAATCAATGAAAAGAAAAAAAAAAAAAAAAGTTCTCTCCTATGTGACAAGCTTTTTTGCTCCTACAGGAATTTGCTTTTTCCTATAGCTTCAGAGGGCAACCTCTAAATTAGTGATTAAAGGAAAATTGGGATAAGTGTTCAATTCTCGTCTGCTTACTGTTGAAGGAAACTTGGAGCAGAAGGACTTAAAAACTAGTTGTTAGAATTCATAAGAATCTAAGCCATGACATAGATATATTTTTTTCTAAATAGTTATCTTAAGTAAATTAGATGCAACATTTCCTACATATTATACAGCAAATAAGTGTTCCAAATCTATCTAAGATGGGGATCTCACTTTTTCTAAATAATAATAATGGGCACTTGGGACTGTGCCTGGCATAAAATAAGTGCTGTTTGTTGAACTGAACTGCTGGTATAGGTTAACTATCTTTGGAGCAATCTTATGAAGTAGGTGATGCTATTTCTGTTTCATATTTAAGGACACTGGGGCTCAGAGAAGCTTACTTGCCCTAAGTTATTCAGCTCTGTGGAACCCAAAGTCTGCATCATTCCAAAGCTCACATGATCTCTGCACAGGCTCCTGTTGATTCTCCAATTTCTTAGTGGCGTAGTGCCTAAGGGATTTGACTGCTAACCAGAAGGTTGGCCGTTCAAACCCACCAGCCACTCTGTGGAAGGAAGACTGGGCAATCTACTTTCGTTAAGATTTACTGCCTTGGAAACCCAAAGAGGGTTGCTATGAGTTGGAATCAACTTGATGGCAGTGAGTTTGGTTTTCTGGTTTATATTAGTTAAAGAGTGATTTACTACTTCTTAAGAAAAAGTCAGAATGTCAAGGAATTAAAGTGAAAAGCCTTTATTAAAGCTTTAAGCACATTTATATCCATAAAAACAAATCTATTTTTTCAAACAAGTTCAACACTAAAAATTAGAATGCAAGATTTCTGAAGGAAGGGAGTATTTTATTTGTCCCCAGTGGCTATTGCTTAGCATCTAGAAGGTGCTCAAGACAAGCTTATGAATGAACAATGATAACTTCTACTTGAATTAGGACACATTTTTAATTACAGTAAGTTTCTATGACAACGTGAATCAATGCATACAGTGAAAAGAACTCATGGAGTGTTTGGTAATTAAAGAAAATTCTCAAACATAAAAAGTCATGTTACACATCTGAACCCTAGGGCAAAAGAAAATATAATCTGACATATCCCAGGGAATTTGCTTCAAGTTTAGGTATGAAAGGCTATCATTTACAATAACATATGCAGGTGCAGGAACAATCACTTTAACTAAACTCTTACCATTCCTTCACCTGTGTAATATGTGAGAAGCATAAAGGGAGTTGGGAGCAAAGTCTGCTGCAGCATTGGGGGTTCCTGCTTCCTACTCTGGTAGCATAGTGCCTAAGGCACTTGGCTGCTAACCAGAAGGCTAGCAGTTCAAACCCACCAGCCACTCCTTGGAAGGAAGATTGGGCAATCTACTTCCGTAGCAATACCACCTCGGAAATCCAAGGAGAGGTCGCTGAGTCGGGTCCGACTTTATGGCAAATAACATCAACCACACCCTTTTGTCTGTATTTTCAAGAGGGTAAGGGTACAATCACATTTCATCTCATCCCAACCAGAGAATTTCCACCTGATCCCCTCTCTATGTCTTGAAAGCAACATCAGTCAACTTTTAAGGTTCCCAAGTGCTCGGTGATCCTCTAATATATGAAATTGTATTGATGCATTAGTATCAACTCTCACATTATTTTATATTCAAAAGTATATGTAACAAAATATATAAAGTCAAAACTCTTCTGTTCTTACTTCCACAGTGAACAAACTTACATGAAAAAATATCAAACCCACTACCATTGAGTCAATTCCTAATCATAGCGACTCTATAAGACAGAACAGGAACTGCCTCATGGGGTTTCTAAGGCTGTAAATGTTTATGGAAGTAGACTGCCTCATCTTTCTCTCATGGTGGAAATCCTAATACATACCACTCATCCTCTCAATTTCTATATAGATGAGCCCTCAAACGTCTTTAGTCCCTGCCTCTCTCCTGGGATCCAGATCCACTTCCTCCTGATCAGCTGAGTCAACTACTGCCTTCACTATTCTCAGCCCAAGGCTCCAGACTAGAGTCCTCTCTAACTCGTGGTTGTCCCTTCCTCCCTAATACTTATATATGTAACAAAAACTTATACAGCACTTACTATGTGCCAGGCTCTATTCTAAATGCTTCACAGATACTAATTAAGTTAATCCCATCCAAAAACCAAACTCACTGCCATCGATTCAGTTCCTACTCACAGTGAACCCACTGGGTTTCCAAGGCTGTAAATCTTTACAGAAGCAGACTGCCCAATCTCTCTTCCATGGAGTGGTTGGTGGGTTTGAACTGCTGACCTTCTGGTTAGCAGACAAATGCCTTAACCACTATACAACCAGCACTCCCTTAACACTCTATTATTATCTTCATTTTGTAAGTTGGGAATCTGAGGTGTAACTTTAAGTATCTTTTTTTTAAGGCCACACAGCAAGAAGTAAATGGCAAACTTAGGCTTTTCTTGAGTCCTGGCTTTTAACCACCATGCTGAGCTGCCTCTCCAAACAACAGCTACATTCATAGTCTACCTTTGGTCCTCACCTCTGTCCCTGTCTTTCTACTTCCACCACCTCCACATTAGTTTATACTTTCAGTATTTCTTATCTAATAACAACAACAACAACAAAAAAAATCCAAACCCACTGCTACTGAGTTGATTCCGACTCATATAGTGACCCCCACTGGGTTTCTGAGGCGGTAAATCTTTACTAAAGTAGATTGCCCTGTCTTCGTTCTGCATAATTCTTATCTAAGCCATCATATAATCTCTTAACTGCTCTCTCCAAATTCCCTTCCTTCCAAATTCAATCCATCCTTCCCAAACTGCCAGATTGATTTAACTTAAAGCATGGATATAGTTTCATCACTTTTCAGCTTAACAACCTTCAGTAGGTCCCCACTACTGCCTGAAAATGTAAGTAAACTCTTTACTTAGGTATTCAAAGCCCTCTACAAAATGGCTTCAACTTACCACCTTCAGTATTTTTACTTTCTCATACTTCAATTCAAATGGATTTATTTGAACAAATCCTACACTTGCCCAGTTGAGTATTTTTGCTTATGCCACGTCCTATGCCTACCTATAATGCTTCAACTATTGCTTCTTCCTAAGAAATTCCTAACCATCTGCGAAGATCTGTCTTAAAAGCCATCTCTCCCATGATCCTTTCCCATTCAGATGCATCTCTCTTTCCCTTGTTCTTAGTTCTTCTATAACACTTATCTTTCTCTATAATGATGCATGTTTATTTTGATCTTGCCTTATCTTCTTGCTATCCTGTAATGTCTCTGAGGGCAGTGACTGCATTTTACACATTCTCAAACAAAAAAACCAAACCGACTGCCATCAAGTCGATTCTGACTCAGCAACCCCCACTGGGTTTCTGAGATGGTAAATCTTTATGTAAGTAGATTGCCCCATTTTCCTTCTGCAGAGTGGCTGATGGGTTTGAACTGCCAACTTTCTGGTTAGCAGTCAAATGCCTTAGGCACTGTGCCACAAGAGCACCTTCTTTATACATCCTGTCCTCTAGTAATATGGAGCTCTGGGGGCACAGTGGTTAATGCATTCAGCTGCTAACCAGAAGGTCAGTGGTTTGAACCCATAAGCTTCTCTGTGGAAGAAAGACAAGGCAGTCTGCTTCCATAAAGATTTACAGCCTTGGGAACCCTATGGGGCAGTTCTACTCTGTCCTAAAGGGGCTTTTCAATTCTATGAGTCAGAATTGACTTGATTTTGGTTTGGTTTTATGGGTTTTTTTTATCCTTTAGTAACAGAAGCTTTCTCTATAGTGCCTAGTAACAGAGCCTGTACACAGCAAATCTGTAACAAATATTTGTTAAATTAAAAAAAAAAAAAAAAATTAGAACACATGTGTTGGTTAGTTACATTAATTCTTTACTTAAGTGAATGGTAAAAAATCTCTTAAAGAAAATTAATGCTTTAAATAAAGTTAATCCTTAAAAATAGGAACATGCAGAGGGATCTCACTATCACTAAGAAGAGATAGGAGTGGAGTGTGCCCTTTGGACCTAAGGTTCCTGTGCTGAGAGCCTCCTAGATCCAGTACACAGAGAGCTATAACACTGGAGACCGCACAAAATGGCCATAAATGGTGGCAAGCAGCAGCAAATGTGGCAGAGAACCAGCAGCAGCAGAACCAAGAGTCTGGCAGGAAATGGTGCAGTGGGCTTTCTGGTCCATGGAGTGAGAAGCCTGAGCACCTTTGGGCTGAGGTTTACTGATGAAGTAGGTACACCTCCAGGCACTTATTGGCAGAGTTAAAGAGCTTTTTAACACTTGCCTGAGCAGGACAGAGGCCAGGCCAAGAGGCCAAGGGACAGGGACAGGTCTGCCTGCATACCTGCAGCTGAGAAGCTGTCCTGACCAAAGAGCTATATCCTTAGTAATTCTTGATTCTGAAATGTGATCTGCTACTTCCCTAATAAACCCCGTAACTGTGAAAAAAAAATTAAGAAAAAGGTGCAAAAAACATTAGAGAATCAAGTGAAAAACAAATTTCAGAGAAGTACAGAATGTACAGAATGAAATCCTAACCCTCTGTACTACAAGATGAAAAATGTGTCAAACATGTCAATAGATACATGCACAGATAAGACTATTGACTAATGGGTGTTACCTTGGCAACTGTTTGTTCAGCAATGGTGCTAGGCCGACGCTGGCGGGCATCAAGTCTCTGATCCAAAGGAAAACTGCTCCTATGTGATTTCAGGCGCTCCACCAACAAGTAATAAATGGCAGCAAAGTGGTTATAGCTCTTGTTCTGCAAAGACTGAAAGGAGAAAACAAGTGCTGAAGGCAGAGAACAGTAATCAACTGATCCAGTGATCCATTCCTTCCTAAAAAAGAGGGAGGAAATCATGTGTTCTTAAAGTCACAAGCAAAGTATGGCTCGAAATGCAAGCTGTTGCAGAATTTAGAATAGAAGAGAGAAAATGTCAAGTCTCTAATATTAATTAAATAAAAAGCAGTACCTTTCAATGACTTGATTGGCCCTTTTACATGAATGGGATCCATTTTATCTTTTGGTAGTCAGAGAAAATGCCATTATTGTCTCATGTAGACATTCCCCAATGTTGTCATATGGTCCCACCTTATAGCTATAACCATGGTATAAGATCAATTAGCAACCCGAGTCATACACTCTAATTGCATAGCTTCAACACCAGTCCAAACCATTCAAAACTCTGATATGAATGATTGAAAGTCTTTAGGGAGCTTTCAGATGATTATTTTGGGCTGGAGAATGACATCTGGATCTCAGAATGAGAGAGACATTGTGTCTCCATTCTTAAGTCCCTTTTTCCCCTTGTTTTTGCAGTCTCACTCTCTGAAACCTTGAAAATAAAGTTACTTCCAAATTTCTCATCTCTCTGGCCTGCCAGCTTTCTCAGGGTACTAATGAAACAGAGAAACACAGCTCCTTTGCCTTATGAATCCACCTGACAGTCTGACGAGTGCTGTGTGGTGTACCGCAAACATGGAACACTCTGAGCAAAAGCCAGGGGCCCAGGAGAACCTGCACTCACATCTGCCACTCTGGGTTCATTTCATGGACATAACTGAGTGCATAATGAGCAAAGCAGGAAAGCCAGACTGGTTTCACTGATGAGTACAATAGAGGGAAAGGCAGCACATTCTAGAGCCTTGTTTTTCACAGCAACAAAAGGTGCGTTTTGTATTCTTGTTTGTTATGTTTCCTCCTTAGAAGCACTGTTTGTTTACTGTTGTGGGGGTATTAAGAACTATGTATATCCTATGAGGAGCTCTGGTAGCGTAGTGCCTAAGACACTTGACTGCTAACCAGAAGGCTGGCAGTTCAAATCCACCAGCCACTTCTCGGAAGGAAAGTTGGGCAATCTACTTCTGCAGTGATACTGCCTCAGAAACCCAAGGAGGGGTTGGTATGAGTTGGGTCTGACTTGATGGCACACAACAACAACAACAACAATGAATATGCTAGCTATTAAAACCAAACTCACTGCCATCTAGTTGATTCTGACTCATAGCAACCCTCTTTAGATTTCTGAGGCAATAAATCTTTTATGGAAGTAGATCGCCCAGTCTTCCTTCCACAGAGTGGCTGGTGGGTTCAAACTACTAACCTTCTGGTTAGCAGTCAAATGCCTTAGGCACAATACCACAAGAGCCTAGTGAAATTTTCTAGGTTCATGGCCTTCTCAGATCTATGACCCTCAATACTTCTAAATCAGGAATCCACCTGTTTTTCCCTTCTCATTTTCCCTACTTCACAATCTAAATTCCGCTGGCTTTTTTAAACCTGATGCCTATCTGCCTCCTGGTTTCCTGCTCAGCCTTCAGCCTGGTTCTATTATCTGTACATTTATGGTCCATATAAACTAGCTTAATATTTATAAAATTCTTCAGGGATCATCTTGGAAGACAATTTCTACTTTGTATTTGTTATGTATTTGTATATCTTTGCTTTTTCTGAATCTCTATGACCCCTTGCTCTTGAATATTTTGGCAGATGAGGCTGAGAAAAGAAATTTATATACTGCATAAAGGCACAGTCTGATGTAGTCTCCAGGGCAAACTGAACAGTACACCTAGATGCTTGGGATGGATCTGGTGAAAGACCAGGATTAATAGGTGTGAGCATGAAATTTCAAGTTACTAAGTGTAATGGGATTCTAAGATGATCTCTGATCACTTTACCTCAATGGTTTTCTGTTGATCTATTCCAAGGCTGTGCATCAATCGCAGAACCTGCTCATTAAACTCCCCTATGGATGGTTCATTTTCTTGCCCTTGTGAATAGAGAACAGGTCTTTGTACCGGAACTTCTACCAGCATCCATTTATGCTCCTTGATTTGCGCTATGGTTAACCGTTTGGATGGGTCTAAGACCAACATCCTGCGGATGAGGTGCTCACAATCTGGAGAAGACAGAATGTTACAAAAGTCACATAAATTACCTTGTACTTCAGTGTATCTGCCTGACTCATGTGACTCTGTATAATGGCTTTAATCTTTGTACCCTCCACAGTGCTCACTGCAGAGCAGGAGCTCAAATGAGTAAGTGAATACATGAAGGCTGCTTCTATTTACCAAGTTCACATGAGGAATGAATACTTAAGGAAAATAGGTGGGTGTGGCTCTATCCAATTCATGCTAAATAAGTCTTTATACTAAGTTTCTCAACTCAATTAGTAGAATTACTAATTAATACTAACTCAATTAGTATCTAGATACTGACTTATATTTCTACCAAAGAAAAAATAGGCCTCATTCCTAGAACAAGCAAATGATAAACTGATCCATAGCCACTTCTAAGGCCTATATATTAAGGCTGTGTTAGAGAAGCAAACAGCTCTCCAGTGGACTGTTGCTTTTGTCTACATCAGTACAGCTGAGAAAAATGTATATGAAACGTTGTTTACTTCTGATTATACTCAGAGAACTGCACCGCTGCAACTGTGGGCACTAGCTTATTTTCTGAGCTCCCAACATGCTCGTCACCATCTCCATATAAGCAAATCCCTAACTAAGCTAACTCACTATGTGGCAGGCACTGTGCTATGACGCCATATAGAGGTTAACTTAATTAATCCTCATAAACCTCTAGGGTAGGAATGATTGTTATTTCTTTTTCACAGATGAATAAACTGAAGCACAAAGAGGAGATAAAACTTGGCAAGGTTGTGCAGCTTTAAGTAGTGGATTCAAGATTCAAACAAGCAGTCTGGTTCCAGAGTCCATACTCTTACCTATTAAGAGCATTATTTCTACTGTTTCTAGGAACAAGAGTTAGGGATGATAACCAAAAACCAAACTAAGGAGTAAACTGCCTCTTAAGACTGGTAGGGATAATAGTATTCAACATATACTCTTAATTCAACAGAGTATTGCCACTTGGCTTTTAATTTAATTTTTAAAAGTTTTAAGTTTGCAGCTTTCTGCTACAGGAAGGAGGAAAATACATGTCAAACTTACAGTAAAATAGCTGTGAATCTGTATCTATGATATGCTTTTCCAAGTCTAAAATAAACCTGGGACATTTATAGACCCAGTGTGAATGAGAAGACTTGCTGCCCTCAATCTGAGAAACTGTTTCTGTTTTCTGTTAAGTAGAAAGGCTGGAACTTGTCTCACCTACATGGACAGGGCTGTTTATTTCTATGGCTTTTGAAGTCACTCAGACATTTTACTTGATATCAAACTCTTAGAAAAAGGGAAGCTTTTGCCCAGGCATTTCATCCAGAGCTCAGATTCTGTAAAGCAAGAAAAACAATTAGCAAGATAAACAGGTTGTTACCTTCTGACATGAAATATGGAATCCGGAATCTTCCTTCTAGAACCCTCTGCCTCAAAACTGGAAGAGTCGGTCCATCAAAAGGGAGAGCTCCACAGACAAGGACGTAGAGAACTACTCCCATGCTCTAGGAAAGAAAATAATGCAGCTATATTTCTATCAAGAACTTTGGACACTCTGATTTCCTAAACATCGTTCTTAAAATAAGAATTCCTGTGTGAGTTTAATATTTCTCAGAATTTGAAAAAATATGAAACATGATCATTGTAATATATTATTCTATAATAAATAACAAAAGATCTCAATTTAATAATTTTTATTACTTTTTAATTTTAAATTATTACTCGTATTAGGATGATAACATTTGTCCCTAGAAATCCTTTCCTAGAGATCCAATTCAAAGTACTTTAAGTAATTACAGCCCAATGGATGGGCAAAATATGAACTACTGCCCAAGTGTTAGGTATTAAGAGCTTCTAAATTGGGCCCACCTACCGAGTATTATTATTATAGATGCATTTAACACAGCAAAGCAAAGAAATACCCAAATATCCAGCTGTGGTCCTTCATACTGCTGTCCTTCAAAGACTTCTGGGGCTGCATAAGGGGGGCTGCCACACCATGTTGCCAGCAGTTCACCACTTTTAAAAAAATTTCCAAAACCAAAATCTATTGGGATGGAAAGAAATGTTACTTTCATCTATGCTATCAAACAAAGTATATTATTGCTGATGTCAGATGGATCTTAGCTGAAAGCAAAGCATACAGAAAGATGTCTACCTGTGTTTTGTTGACTATGCAAAGGCATTTGACTTGTGGGTCATAACAAATTATAACATAACATTGTGAACAATGGAATTCCAGAACACTTAATTGTTCTCATGAGGAACCTGTACACAGATCAAGGGGCTGTCATTCAAACAGAACAAGGAGATACTGCATGGTTTAAAATCAGGAAGGGAATGCGTCAGGCTGTATCCTTTCACCATACTTATTCAATCTGTATGCTGAGTAAATAATCTGAGAAGCTGGACTATATGAAGAAGAATACAACATCGGGATTGGAGGAAGAACCGTTAACAACCTGTGATATGCAGGCAACACAATCTTGCTTGCTGAAAGTGCAGATGACTTGAAGGACTTACTGATTAAGATCAAAAACTACAGTCTGAGTATGGATTACACCTCAACATAAAGAAAATGAAAATCGTCACAACTGGACCAATAAGCAAACATCATGATAGATGGAAAAAAGACTGTAGCTGTCAAGGATTACATTTTATTTGGATCCACAATCAACACCCATGGAAGCAGCAGTCAGGAAATCAGATGTCATATTGCACTGGGAAAATCTGCTGCAAAAGACTTCTTTAAAGCGCTAAGAAGCAAAGATGTCACTTTGAAAACTAAAGTGCATCTAACCCAAGCCATGGTATTTTCAATCACTTCATATGCATGTGAAAACAGGATAATGAATAAAAAAGGCTGATGAACAGTTGATGCCTTTGAGTTGTGGTGCTGGTGAAGAATACTGAAAATACCATGGACTGCCAGAAGAATGAACAAATCTGTCCTGGAAGAAGTGCAGCCCGAATGTTCCTTGCAAGGGAGAATGACCAGATTTCATCTCACCTACTTTGGTCATGTTGTCTGAAAGGGCCATTCCCTGGAGAAGGATATCATGCTTGGTAAAGTAGAGGGTCAGGGAAGAAGGGGAAGACCTCAACAAGATGGACTGACACAGTGGCTGCAATGATGGGCTCAAGCATAGCAAGGATTCTGAGGATGGCACAGGACCAGGCAGAGTTTTGTGTTGTACACAGGGTCACTATGAGTCAGAGCTGACTTCTCTCAAACTATACTGAATTTCTCTGTAATAGATGTTACAATATTCTACATTAACAATATCATTATTATCTGCTCTGGGAGGCTGGGCATGACATCTATCTTGTGATGTTTCCTAGCACTTAGCGTAATGACTAGCAAATAGTAAATACTTGTTGCATGAATGCATAAGTGAATCAAGTTTTCTTCTCAAAGAAAATGAGAAAAAGATTGGGGGGCCTTAAATAATATATTTTTAAGGTTGAAAGAAAATCTATTAGTGTGGAAAATCAATTTGAATTTAATAATCTTAGAATTTCAATTACCCAACAATTGCTCAATAACTCTTTATCTTATATGGTCTGTAATAAAGAAAACAAATGAGTAAAACTCAAAGATATTTACTTAAACACAACCCAGTGACGGCTGATCTCACAGCTATTACATCAAAGAAGCAAGATATATAACTCTGTAGCAACTGAGTACAGTCATGTATTGCTTAACATCCATGATACATTGTATAAAACAAGATTTCTGTGATTTGGATGCTGTGAAAACACAGCTAAATTGGGAGCAATAGTATTCACTGATTGTACAGCTTAATCATATTTTACTTCCAAATTGATACATTTCCTCTTCCTCCTCCTGCTACTATCAGTAGCACTGATTTTGCTGTGTTTGGGAACCATGATGCATTTCATGGTAACATTTTCAAAAGAAAATTAAACACAGAAGTAATGCTACAACACTCAAGAGATGCACAAGATTGCATGCTGCTGCCTATGAGTAGAAGCACATACATTATTATATGGTAAACTTTTTATCTAAGTAGAGAAAGTTCACATTAAAATAATGATAGAAAGTAAAGTACATTCATAAGCCAGTAATGTAGGTGTTTATTATAACTATCAAGATACATGTATTATAAGTTATATATGTCATGTACCATATATACCTGGTAGTGCAAATGCTTTGCATACAAGAAACCTGACATGCACGTGTTAAGTGCAGGAAGCTTTGTGTTCTCTACATCTGGTAATGTTTGCTATGTTCCATTCTCTGATCAAGATTTTTGAACTCTATTATAACCTTACAGGAACACAGACATATATATATATAGTTGGACACTGCCTGAATGTATGTTACGTGGCACATGACTATATACAGTGTTTTTTAAGTCATGACCCTGTAGGTGCTGGTCCATACAATTGATTGGGCAGATACCCATGTGAAGAGCTCAGTAATATGTGACTGCCAGCCTATGCCCAGCCCCAGGCCACCTTTCACCACCAGTTTCACTTATTTATTCCTTAAGGTAATGCAGTGGCATTATAGTTCAGAACAGTTAATGGCCTTTCCTTCAAATCTCAATCATACTGAATCTGTAGCTTTGCTACACAGAGCATGCACTCTGGAGACACTGACTCAGATGCTTTTAATATGCATGGGAATTACAGGCAGAAGACAAATTCAGTTAGTTACAGCATAAAATATAAGCTTTCACCCCTCTGCTATGTCTTCTCATAGTATCATGTTCTTAACTGAAGAAACAAACATCACATACTTTCTAAGTTATACTCATTGTTATGGACTGAATTGTGTCCCTTTAAAATACACACTGGAGTCCTAATCCCTATAACCATGGATGTAATGCTGTTTAATAATAGTGTTTTCTTTGTTATATTAATGAGGTCGTATCAGAGTAGGGTATATATCCTGGGCCTGATCACTTCTGAGTTACAAGGAGCAGCACGGACACAGAGACCAGGAGCACAAAATGGGGGGAAGACAGAAGCCATACATGTGAAGATCCCCAAGGAATGCCAGGGCTACAGAAGTTGAAACAGACAAGGATCTTCTCCCAGAGCCAAGAGAGTGAGCTTTCCCCTATAGCCAGTGCCCTGCACTTAAACTTCTAGACTCCTGAACTGTGAGAAAATTAATTCCTATTCTTTAAAGCCACCCACTTGTGGTATTTGTTATAACAACACTGGGAAACATAATTCTTTATGCTGGTATATACTCCTGACGGAAGGGCACTACCTCAGTGACAGGAACTGGCTCTACCCTCAGCGGGCACATGGATGGTAAGCTTTAAGTGATGCCTCAGGGGGACTGGATCGAGTCTCCAGTGCCAGACCGACTGGCTGTGAACCTCGGATTAGTCTCTGAGTTCCCCCATCTGCAAAGCTGAAATAATAAATATACCTAATCAGCAGGCTGTTGTTAGGATCCAATGGGTTAACAAAACTTATGAACACTATTCATACACTGAGACTATATATACACCTGCACCTCAAGTGAAGCATTCCATTAGTCAGCTGACATAAAAACTGGTGGCAAGAACTATTAGCAGTAATAACTAACAACTCTCATCACCACATATAGCCTGTGAAGTTAGGAAGAACCATAGATGATTTCCAGTTTTGACACTTTTTAGCTTCAAGCCTCCTAGGCAAGCGATTTAACTATTCTGAACCTTAGTTTCCTTATCTATAAACATGAGGGGATAACTACCTACTAAGAAAGGATGCTGTGGGGATTTTATAGGATTAAGAACATAAAATGCATGGACTATAGTAAATGCACAATATTAGATCCTTTCTCCTTCTGTGAAAGCACTAATATCAGCTATTACTTTTCAGAGAAAAAGACCCTGAGAAAATATACAAGAGGGGGAAGAAGTGTAGAGGGATCTTGAGGGCCTGGAAGAGAAAAGAGGGTGCATTCTTAGTAGACCACCACTGCGCTTGGGAGTGCACTTGAGTGTGACCATCCAGGGGTATGAGGCAAAGGGGACATCAGTGAGGACTTCTGCTCCATTCACAACGTGACCTCAGTTTGGTCCTATTAGCTTTCCAAAACGACTACCAGAGAGGCCTTGTCTTCTAAATTCTACCTCCATGGCTAACTACTCAAATCACATTATATATATATAACCCATGTGTATATACAGGTATATTTAGAGCTTTTCAGAAAAACTATATTGTCAATTGAGTTAAGGACTAGATGTTTCAGTAAGGTTTAAAGAGGAAAGTGTTAACTTCACTCACATAGTCAAGTACAAGAAGCTCTGGGATGTGTGTTTGGAGATCCTGAAGTAGGTACAATAAATGCTGTACTTTAAACGGTATTGCAGGATTAGTTTCAGCACATGTAAATTGAGGACACTCTGCAAGTAGCACTGTAAAGTATTATCTCAAAGAGTCACTACAGAGCTACTTCATTCTGAACTCCCCCATACTCCAGTGAAAATGAACCCAAAGGAGTGACTGGGACAGAGGCCTATCAGTAGGGTGGCCAAGACTCCTGATTGTCGTAGGCTCTCTCACTGGTAAATTTCATAGGAAAAGAGAGCAAAGAGCTAGGAAAGCATCATAGTGCCTGTGGTAGTCCAGTTTCAACCTTGGCTTTTCATATCTAGGACAAAAAAAGCTTCCCATTAACTTATAAGAAGAGTGGTACTAAGTAGCTGTTTACTTCTATTTTCTGTAGGTAAATGAGGAAAACAGGAAGAGCTGACTCTGTAAGCACATTCTTTTCAAAATACTGAAAGAAAATCAGGCTCACTAAAGCTATTACAACGTCACATATGCAGAATATTTCTATAATCTTCTCCAAATACTTAAACCCTTGTATTTGTCATTACCTGATGCTCTAGCTAAGGAAGACTTTGTAGTCATGCACATCTGGCCCGTCACTAATGATGTTTGGACACTGGTCATTTAAAACTGAATCAGAATGACATTAATAACAACTTGTTTTGGTTATGAGGAAGATACAATCCTGAGTCTTCTGTTTATTAACTGTATGATCTGGGGGAAATTATTTAACTTCTTTGAGCC